TTTCCAACAGCTGTTACATTATTAAAAAGAAATTAGATTAAACATCGATCGATATTCGTAAATGCAGTTTCCCGATCGTCAACATGCCTCTTAATTATTGCGGTTTAATGCATTTAGAGGATCACATTGCTGGCGCAGGCGGAGCGTTTGAATAGTGCATGTCAAATTCACGTCAGTCGCAGCTCGGTACTACATGATATGCGTCGAATTTTGTATGTACGTAAAACGCATTAAATGTCTTTGATGAGCAGAATCGAGAAATGTTTGAAAGTAACATATGTTCTAAAAATTTAATAAATTATTTATATGTATATTCTGAAACATGTATAAATAAATGCAGATATTTTTAATTGCTATAAAATAGCAGGTTGAATTATTCAACCGTCTGTTTTATAACAATTTGATATCGTTGAATGTCATCTGCCATTTCTCAGCGATTGCAAGTAATAAAAAAATTTATGAAAAGGGTTTATTTAACGTTTACACATTCAATTAAAAATTAAATTCAAGCTTAAACTACAGCACAAATTTCAGACTTGATAATTGCAGCCCTTTGAATCATTTGTGCGATTGATGTATTCAAGATGTTCCTATTATGAGCAAAAATTATGCTTTACGTAAATTCATATTACAACACAGAAACGTTTCACACGTTTCGTGAATATTCAACAATTTTAAATATTCAACGTCAGAAAACAGAGCATTATTCATCTCTCGCCGTCCCGAGCATACATCTATTTTTGCCGCTCTAATCCTACTCCAATCGGTCATCTTGATTTATGACATCAGAAATGAAGAAATTATTCTCGAGAGCCTGAACATTTTACTATATTCGTTCTTTGTCATTCTGTCAACTTCATAACATTTGTCGTTCGTTTGACTCATAGTTACCGATTAATTCCGGATTTTGTGCTAAAATTCAACACTCTGACGCAGAATATTCACAAATATGTTCAATCTCATTAATATTTTACATTTGGAAAAAATATAAATTCATAAAAATACAATTTACAGTTCTTTTTCTATGTGCGTAAACCTTATATACAAAATACTCTTCTTTCTTTCGTCCTCTCAATTTAATTTATATTAAAAACCGACATTCTTGTTTGAAATGCTACAAAACAATTTACTTACTTATTGGTTAAACCCTAACGTTACAAAGTTTCAGTTTTGAATTTATTTCTTTTATATTCTTAACATTCTTCTGTTGAAAACTTTGAGCAAATACAAGACTTATCTACTACCAAGTTTTAAATCGCACCAAATCGACGTAATATCCTCGAAGAACGATACAAATTAAATCTGTCTGACACCGCTTGCTACTTTTCTGACGGTCGTGCTTCTCATAACTACAACACGTTTGCAATATTGCTGCAAGTGATGACTCTAGAGATAGGGCGAGCATGTTTCTACTTGCGAGGAAAATCAAACTTTTAAATGGATTTTCTAAAATATATATTTTTAATAGACTTTTTTTTATTATTATTTGTGATATAGCAATACAAAATTTTCTAATAAACGGCAAACATAAATATATAGCTTCAACCAATATATTGACTACAAAAAGATATAAGATAATCTTTAGAAAGATAAAGATAATAATCTTTAGAATATATGAAGCTTTTAGAAAATTACATTTGAATACACCGACATAAAGATATAGTTGATACAAACATTACACAAACGTTATTTAATGTTTCTTAATAAATAATTAATTTAACAATATTTATATAAACGACAACCTACTGTATCTTCATTTTTCATCTCTCGAAGATTACAATCGAGTATCTCTTGCATATATAATTATCATCTTTAATGATATTATATTAAATATCAAAAATAAACCATCTTTGTTTGAATTAACTAATTTCACTACATGTCGTGTTGCGCGGAAATTAATTGGAAACGATTGATTGCGACGCGCGAGTACTCTTGAGTCCAAGCACGGGAATTCGGTAGGAATTATTCATTTACGATCCGCATAGACAGCCCAATGAATTTAAAAACCACCTATGTATCGAAACTCGCGTTTGTCAAATCAATTAACATATTGCGTTGGTACACGTTTACTCTAATGACATTCGTTGCGATCGTACGGCACATCCACTCTGTAATCAGAGTTTAATTACACATAAAGTAATTTGCTAATTACCTTTTGCCCTGCCTGTAATTGGCAATATGTCGTGAATGTCGTAGTATTGATGTAGAACAGTTCGGAGATGTAGAACACTATGCTACTTTTCACGTCGTGGCTGATCCACGCATGGGCTAACAGTAATAAACAATTGCTGCTATTACGTTATTATATTATTATTACATGTTATTAATGAAAATTAGTCAGTTAGTAATACCATAAGTAAAATTATGTTATTATTTATTACTAATGATTGGCAATGCAAAATAACAATTTTCATAGTTTGTCACAATGTTATTATATCAGATTTACATTGTTATTGTATTATTATATTAATACTAGTATGCGCATTATTCTATCAAACCGCTAAAAAGCATGAGGTTATTGTTATTATTATTATTATTGTCATTGTCGTTGCACATTGTCTTGTGTCAAAATCCATTATTCAGATCGACAAAATGCAGTCTCGCATCGACGCGGAAATTCGTACAAACCGACATGCAAGTTTTCCGCTTTCCGTGATTACAATCGACATGACATTAATTTCAAGCGAATTAGCGAACACGTGCGCGTATATCGAATACGTACGAATTAATTAGCCTTTGCTCCTATAATTGCGACAATGCCTGTCGCTCGACGAGCTCTATAATCTCACGATAATTCAATTGATTCGGCGAAGTAATAATTAATGTGATACTTATTATTTAACATTGAAAGAAAAAGGAAACAATAATTTTTGTACAAAAAAGTAACATCGTTTTCTTTTACAATAAAAGTAAATGTTCTTCTTAATGAAGCATTTTGATTAAAAAAAAAAATGAAAGATTAATGTAAAGCACATTAGAGAAATAAAATGGTTATTATTAAAATAACAACGATGAAATAAATTGAAATACAAACTTAAATAATGCGACTAACTATAAAGAAAATGCTCTTTTCATATTATTTTGTTTTGTTACCTTATTTATTCTTTTAATACGTTTCGACAAATGTCATTATAATTATAGAAATAAAAAAGACCGACATTTTCCGCGCAAAGCAATATCAATGCTTCTTGATAGCACCACGATAATATATCCGGTCTTCGTTACATTTACATCCGAGATTCATCGAAACGCGCAGACTAAAGCTATATTGGTATTATTACATTTGCATATGAATGCAGTCCGCCTTCCTATCGCGGAGGATAACTCATCCCAGAGTGAATATCCATTCAATACCGGCCCCTCGATGCGACTATGTTGCGATGATTACCTTGTCGGACACCTTCTCATTGATGTCACAGCGGAAGCGCCCAACGTCGTGTATATATTTATTGTTTTGATACATGATGTAATTCATGACCATAGATAAATGAGTATGGGGAAAATTATCGGATTTTGGCCTAAACCCATTTTGTGCATGTTTTCTTGTATTTTTTGATGTGCCGAATCATTTGCAAAAGTTTCTTTCAAACTGATTTTGGTGGGAATATGTTAAAAATGGCATTAAAAGTAGCACAATTTCGTCACAATGTGATCTTTGATTGCAATTTTCAATACTTTCCCATTATAGTTTAGCTTAAAATTATAACGTTAACAAATAATTCAGCATAAAAAAAAATACAAGAAAATATGTAAAAAAAATCCATCATTTAAGCCGATAATTTTATTCATTTTTCTTTTTGCGGTAAGTTATTATTACGAAATTAAAAGAGCAAAAGTAACAAGGAAACGACAATAATTCACATAATTGAATTAAGTAAGGAACTAAATCATTGTCCAAAAGTTTATATATCTAAATACCATAATATTTTTTTCCAATATCAAATAACACAGTAAAATACACTCTAAAATTTTTTAAGTAAAATTTAACTTAATTTAATATCATTTAAAAAGTGAAATCTCATTCTTAGAAGTTGACAATTGAGCCAATATTGAAAAATAGTGGCTCAATTATCACTCCTTTTCAATCTTTAGAATTAGATTTCTGTTCAAAGATTTTAGAGAACATATGTTATTAAATTAATGCTGTTGATATTATAATTTTGCCACTAATTACAATAATTATGACTACTCTAATTATGATATCGATAGCGCCTGTGATATTACTAATAGGTAATTAATAATTGCATATCCAAAGTCAAGAGCAATTGTATAAATATCGTAGAAATATTTGATGATATATTTGTCTCCGACACACATCGTTTGCATTCAATCACCATTAGATTTGCGCGCACATGCAAACAGATGTGGGCGCGGATAAATTCCATATGTGGTATAGTTCGAATTGTGAACGTCGGGGATTCACGAAATAGCAGAAAATCCAAAATCGCATACCAACAGTCCATATCTAGGATTACGGTTGCAAATTCCATCTATGCGCCCAAACTGTTAGCTAGGTCCAATTAGTTGCGAGGCGACGTTGAATCCGGAAATTACAATGCGCTGTGGCTGACAGGCGCAAAAAGAAGACAAGTGTCGTACAGTTTCTATTGGAGAAGACCCGTTGCCGAACGCTTGCCAAATAGAACCATCGGAATTGTTTTTGGAAGTTAAACGAATCCAGAGATTCGTCAAATGATTTATTTTTTATATAATCTTAATTAATATAATCCCCTCTGATTTGAAAGTAAATAAATTAAAAATTGTTAATTGCATTAAACATTACGTAAATTTATCAAAAAATGTATGTATGTGTAATGAAGATAAGAAACAAAATTTAATACATATTAAATTGTAGATATTAAAAAAAAATTAACTTAAACATAGTTACAATAAATTATAGAAATAGAAATTGAAGGTCCAAATGAATAATTAATTATAAATTGTATAGAATAAGAAATACATGCAGTTTATGTAAATTAAAAGAATAATTTTTGTTTCAGAACTTGAAGAATCAGATTATGACAACAAACCTGTGGGTCGAACAGGTGAGTGATAAATGATTTTTTTTAATATTTAATTTACACATACACACACACAAATGTTTTATGCATGATTAAAACATTTTTCTTACAATTTTTGTGTAATTGTTTAAGATATGAAACGTTAGAATCTCTAAAATTGTTACACAACTTTAATACATATTAATTTAAATAATATATTTGCATAATGTATTATTTATTAACATTTAATCGCGCGCAAAAAGTATTTTAAGAAAAGTAATTCTTTTTCCGGACTGCGGCGATACGCGAGATAAGAAAAAAGAATTGGAAGCGTAATTTATTTAGTGTAATTGAGCCATTACAAACATTAGAACCTTAGAAAGAGGAATTTAACGAGGTAACCGAGACATTCACGTTTGGGAAACAACGGCTGTTTCGTTGCTTCGCGTTACACGAAAGGCGCAGTAACTGCAAATTACTTGTATTATACTTTATATATAGCTACCGTTTCATTTGCTTGACGTTGTATCTTCTTATTATAGAATATTAGACAGAATAAGAAAAAAGAAATCAAACAACGGATTGTCGCACATAATTGAAGTATAATTAAAGTTTCAGTTAGCATAACGATTAAGGTGTGTTCTTTCGACGAAACAACAAGCAAAGTTCTGTAAACTTCATTATTTATAAACCTCAAAAATGTTTAGATGTTAATTTCTACAGAAAAATGTTAATTACGCTTTCAAAAGTGTAATCATTTTTATACAAAATCTGCAATGTCACCTAACACTTCTTTGTGTTATATTCTGGAAATTATTTAAATACACATTTTCAAGATTAATCAAAATTAATAATCTTTAAAATGTCGATATCGCAATAATTTTTTAATTATAATTTTTTTTTAAATTAAAGGCTAATGCTAAAAGTACTGTGTAAAGTTTATGTATTAAATCTTGCGTTTATCGCGTGCTGTATGGAAATTGTCGCGGGACGATAGTAATGAGAATTTTTAGTTATAATTTTGTTAATATATACTCAGTGTTATAACAATAATTTTGATGATAACGCTTGCACTGGAATTTACGATAAATTGCTTTAAATTTATACATAATTTTCTTCAGTACATATGAACTTATTTGATAAAATAAATAATTTTATCTAATATATTATACTAACATTTAATATTACACAATTATCGGATTATCATTACAATCTTTCACTGTGACACGTATCAAACTCGGACGCGCTAAGAATGTAACGCGGCGCTCAAAATTATATGGCCTACTTGATCTACGTGAGTCGCAGAATGCCACTGCACAGCTTCTTTTATCATAGTTAAAGAGCTGCGTTATAATGATAACGAAATTTGTGTTAAGAGTTACAGAATAGGCCTGCAGGATACAGAAAGTTGGGTGAACTTTGATATTCGCATCCTGCATTCTGCGTCCTGCCTTCTTCATATTGCAGCCGATTTATTATGAGCTTTCCACAATAAATTATTATGTAAATTTTAAGACTCATTATATATATATATATATAAACCGTAAGAAATTGACCAATTATGTATATTCTTCTCACATTGGACTGTGACTGGTCAATTTCTTATGATTTAAGATTTAAAGTTTAAATAGTGATGTAGAAAGCCCATTTTAATCTGAAATACGTATTGCGACATGCGATTTGCGTTCTACGTCAAAAATCCGGCCTAGAGCAAGTTTGTTGCGTCAGTCAATCCGATACGTCAATTTTAAAAATAACGCTTTGAAATCGGGTTTATCGGCGCTTTGTGCGAGCCGAATGTATATTACACAAAGGGTACGTGCGTTTTATTTAATATTAAAGCTTGTGAATATTATTTCATCCTTTGTAATACCCGTGAGCGTTACAAACGTTAAATGACCGCACCCAAAGTCATTGTTCGCATATACTACTCTCGAACGAGTTGGTAGTGATGCGTTTCGCTACGTCTCACATTATTTCTCAAGACGCGATCAAGGGATACTCTAGAAACTCTAGGGGTCATATCTCTTGGAACATTAAACATGATCATCTCTTATACTGATAATAATTATCGGTGAGCCCATAAACTCGTTTTCTCTACTTTTACTACGATTTATAAAGTTATATGTATGGGTGCTTTCCATTTGCGTAAGTCAACACAAATGTCTTTCTATTTTGATTACTCTCTAAATACCAAGAAAGATAGATTGATGTTTGTATCGATTAGTGTTATTAAATAAAAATTAGTTAAAAATCGAAGATTGGAAAACGAAAATTTTTAATTATTATTGTATTAAAATTTGTACTTTCGATCAATAATGATTTCGTCAACAATGCTTGAATTGAGATATACAATATATTAATTGGTTCGAATTTTCTTTTGATTTATACTTAATTATCTTTATTTTCGAATCAAGAGCTCGTGTGGAATAATACACGATCTATGTGATTTAAATAACGAAATGCCGCGTGTACTGATTTATTAAATAATAATGAATACGAATATAGAGAGACATATAACAAATAACAAAGTATATTTCAAAATATACTGTCTACACCTGAATCAGTGAATACTTTTAATTTTCTATATTATATTTGATATTGAGTAATTAGTGAAATTCAACTGAAAAGATAGGATGTTTGCATTATTTAATTAAAATACCAATACATATTTGGAAAAAATTCTCTTACAATTATGATCACTTATAGCTACATTTATGCAATTGTAGATCAAGATTTATGATAATGGAAAGATCCGTGTGCCTTTGCATTATTTCTCGGTGTACCATCGCAACAAATCCTAAGTTATTAACAAAAAGAGACACTCGACGCAATTATTTTTCACCGTTACCAGCTCGTACGATTGAATAATTTCCGCGTTGAAAGTCGTGCGCGCGATTGTAATTAACAGTTTTGCAAGAGTATTATATTGTGTGAGTGTTATGAAAGAACAACAATAAAAGAGCACGAGAGGAGGAAGGCATTGGACGAGAGCAGAATAACAATAGATAAGTATCTAAAATATTATTTGTTATCCGAAGTATTTATAAATGTTAAATAATTTTTCAGTTCTTTTATCAAAATATTTATCTTACGAATTTATTTAAAAAGAATTTTTTTTTTTTTAAATTGCTTCGCGTATTCACAATAATTAACTTTTAAAACTTAAACTTATTTTTAATGCCAATATATTTTAAATATCAATATTTATTTTTATAGATAAATGAAGTTTGAATTATAATTCTGCTGCTGCGCATCGTGTCGCTAAGTAATAAATATTTTTATTTTAAGTAAAATAGTAAATCTGTAAGAAATATATAAAATATGAATTTATATGTACACAGTACAGTTTAAAATGGTTTATTAATATACAGTATTCTATACGAATAAATAAAATATTTAAGAGACTTATATATGCAAATACAATACTTTAACATAAATGGAATAATATGCTTAATTCTAAAAATCGAGCAAATATTTATCGAATTTCTACGTATAATATCATTTTTAATTATTATTTAATTGCATAATAAAACACCAAATTGTGTCAGCTATACACATATATGCTAATAACTAAAGTGATCAGTGAGATTCTATTAAAAAGCTCATAAAATAAAGCTTTATTAATTGAATCATTATTGATCACTTCGCTTATTTATTGACATTTTTATGCTACAAATGGTGCGTATACAATAAAATAGTAATTAGAAAATATTTAAATGCTTGAAATGTATAAAAATTTAAACTTGGTGTAAATACAAAAGAAGATGAAAAATATTTTTAACGGAAGAGTCATAAAAGATTAGAAATAATGACAAAGTGATTTTTATAACGGCACAATGGTTTTTAGTATAAATATTATTTAATTTAATAAAGATATTAGCATTTGTTTATTTTTTCTAAGAGAACACTCTATTCAGATAAAGTTTTCAGAAATAGTGCGAAATTTTCAGTACAATCATATATTGAGTAAAGAGGGTCATCTGCTTTGATTCCATTTTTTTGTCCAAAGAACCTACTTGGCGTAAATTTAAAAAGATTAGAACAAGTTTAAGCAACAAGTTAAAAATGTTCATCTCAAATGCATGTATATAAAAGCAGACAATTATAAAAAAATCATTGGCATTTGATTAAGAAACAATTACTGCTAATAATAATTAAGCTACGTAGCTTACAGAAATCGCACAAGAAAGAACATAATTTTTTATATTTCTCTATCACAAACGAGCGCAATCATATATTATTTCATACTTTTGTAGCGTCGCCGGCCGGTTATTCTTTAAACAGTTAGAGACTCATAGCATCATCTCTGATAAATAAGTAAAAATAACAAATATTTGCTTAGCCCAGGGCGTTTGCTCTATTCGGGCTTCTCCTAATTATTATACATATATGAATTTTTTAAATATTTTATTATATTTTTTATTGAAACATTTTTGAAATTTTAACAGTTAGTTGAATTATTTATTTTCAAAAAGACTAACAACGTCCTGACAACGTTATATATGTTTTTCTCTCAATTACAGCAAAATTCGCTTACGCTGAATGCTTTGGAACAAAGCACGGCTTTGATGTTACATATAGTTAAATCCAATAAAATCGCGGAGGTACACACACGTCGGTCCGTCGAACGTTATTCGTCGCAGTACACGAAAACGATTCATACGCAAACCATACGGTCCGCGGATCGTCTGGTTGGGGATGCAGCCCATTTGCAACACGAGTTACATTTCTGTCTAAACGCGTGTTGTACGTGTACATGGCAAAGCATTCCCGACGCGTCTCACAGAGCGACGTGCCATCCTTCAACGTCGAAACCACCATCCACCCTCACAGAACGACCGGCCGCTAACACCCTTGCCTGCTGTTAGTGTCGGCGTGTACCCTTGTCATTCCGCCTCGCTCAGGATCGTCCATACTGATCTTGTTGTTATGTCACTACATGTTTTCATTTCTTTAGATGACCAACGAATATCTTTATCATATATTAAATATAATAAAAGGTAGAACAGTTTTGTGTTGAAGTATATAAAAATTTAGCTAGA